GAAAAATGGGAATCCCAGAATATCTCATTGTCCTCATGAGAAACTTATATACAGGTCAGGAGGCCGCAGTATGGACAGAACATGGCAAAACAGGCTGACTCCAGGTTGGCAAAGGAGTGCAACAAGGCTGCATACTCTCCCCTTATTTATTTAACCTATATGCTGAATATATATTAAGGGAAGCTGGATTGGAAGAAGATGACCGTGGTTTTAAAACTGGAGGAAGAAACATCAATAACCTGGGCTATCCTGATGACATTATCCTGATAGCTGAAAATGCAAAGGATATGCAAATTCTAGTAATAAAAGTTGAGGAGCAAAGTGAAAAAATATAAAGAAGATATAAAGAAGACCAAACTAATGACAACAGGAAGAACAACCAGCCTTAGAACTGGCAATGAAGATATCTAAGTGGTGGATAGCTTCTGCCTTTTAGGACCAACCATCAACAGTAAAAGAACAAGCAGTCAAGAAATACACTGTAGACTAGCACTTTGTAGAGCAGCCATTAATGCCTTGGAAAAGATATTCAAATGACATGATGTGCCTATATCTACAAAGATCAGAATCATGCAAGCAATGGTATTCCCTGTGATAATCTAAGGAACTGAAAGTTGGATTTTAAGAAACAGGAGAAGAAGAGTATTGATGCCTTTGAACTTTGGTGTTGAAGAAGACTCCTGAAAATACCATGGACAGCCAAAAAACAAACCAAGGCTTTTATGTTCCTACAAGTATAGGAGATGGGGAGGTAGATGGCTTCCTGGAGCATTAGGTTTCTCTCCAGGCAGGATAATGACCAAACTCTGCAGAAGTACTCTCTTTATTAGATCAATGTAAGTTTTATAAAGATTCAAGCTTCTTAGAACTGTTCATCAAGTCAAATGGTTGTGAAAAGTTTAAAGAAATTAATATGTTCCCAACTGTTATAAAACTTCAGTCATCTGAATAAAGGTATTATCTTTGTGAACTTTTTTTTCCTCACAGACAACATGCTTGCTATTGCTTTTTACAAGGTAATGTGGTAAGACAGCTGAATCACTTGGGTGTAGACTTTGAATTTCTTGTTCTGCTTTCCCAGCGTGCTAGCTGGGGAATTCTGGGAGTTGAAGTCCACACAGCTTCAAGTTGCCAAGGTTGAGAAACACTGCTGTAGAGCAATGAATAAAGCACTTCTGTACACAGGAGTTAAAATGATAGCAGCAATTAGCTGGATAGCTGGATAGACCAACAGGTCTTGATTTCTCTTCTTTCCTATGTGCATGATGATTAAAGCTATACTGCTCTACAATATAGCATTAGTCTGTCTATTAGTTTCAGTCTATAATGGAACTTACTTCTAGGTAACATGTAAATAGGACTGCACTGAATATTTTGCCTTGTTAGATCATTTAACTCAAGGTTCTGGTCCCAGAAATGGTCAGCCAGAGGCCATAGGAAGATCACAGAAGGGGTAGAGTAATATAAATTGCTATGTCCTTTTGCTTGTGTACTGCACTGCTTTTAACAATGGAAGCTCTAGCAGGTTCATCAAAACTAATACCAATAAATAGGGCCAACTTTCTTAAATCTGATATTTTTGAGGACCAGTAACAAATGTGTGGTTCTTCAGGTGATTTTGAACTTCACATCCCATAGTCTCTGACTACTGGCTTTGTTGCTGATGGAACTTCGGAGTCCAACATGGAAACCACAAGATCTCCCTCCCTGGGCTATTTATTTATTTGAAATAATTTATAGAGCTGTCCAACTCAAAGCAGTGACTCTGGGCAGCGTACAAAGATTATTATAACTATAATCATCATGACAATATAAACTCATGATGCCCCAGTTAAACAATAAGCTCACTTAATTGCCTGGCCCAAATGCCTATGGGAACTGCCAAGTCTTCAGAGCCTTACAAAAACTAACACGGTTGGGACCATCCAGATCTCTGGGGCGCCACTGTTCTACAGGGCAGATGCAGCCACAGAGAAGGCATGACCCCAGAGCCCAAAAAGATGGTATCGTTTAATGGATGGGACCCAGAGCATGCCTTCCCTGCTAGATCTGGTGGAGCAGACAGAAACAATGGGGGACAGGCAGTCCCACAAATAGCCTGGTCCTTTGCTGCGCAGGGCTTTATAGGTGGTAACCAGCACTTTGAATTTGACCCAAAAGCCTATTGGAAGTCAGTGGAGTAATCTAGTAATCTCTTAGACCATGGACTCCTGTCCTATACCCTCAGTAATGCATTTCCTTCCCTGAAGGTAAGTGGGATTTTCTTCAGTGCAAATATTCTACCTCTATTAAAGAAGCAAGCTAAGGCAGTATAAAGGAAATCCTGTGGTTTTTTTTTCAAAAAAGAGAAGATGAGGAAGAGGATGAGGAAGAATTTGGATTTGTGGCTACAATGAATAATCACAAAACCTTTAAAAGCAGAACTTATGTAAATAAATGTATGACTGATAGAAATTCAGTTTTTACTGGACATTTAGCAAAACTATGAGACAGAAAGCTGTCAGTTTTGTTAAGTGATTCTTGAAAAATTCCAAATCCCTGATCTATGCACTTAATGTGGTAAGTCAAGTGAACTCTTGAAATTCAAATTTGACTAAATTTGAAGAGATTGTATGTTGCTTTCTTAAACCCTGGATACCTTTCTAGATACTAACACCTCGCCCTGCAACCATTTAGCTCTTTTGCGCTTTCCTAGCATGAATTTACTTCCCCCCCGCCTTTCCTACATAGTTGCTGTTTTGTATTATTTTCTGATATCTCATTTCTTAGTATCTACAGTTAAAGCAAGATATTGAGAATGCTATTACTATTATAGACCATGCTCCTGTAAAGCTCATAGCTTTTTCTATCAATTATTTAAATGCTTATTACAAATGGTCTCTGAACATACCTTTGTTGAATGATGATTCTTTTAAGTACAGGTAATCCCCAGTTTAAGAATGAGTTCCATTCCTAAAGTCTGTCCTTAAACTGAATATGTATGTAAGCCAGAATAGTATTATTGTATAATACTGTATAAGTAGTATTGTATAATTAATTCAAATCATTGTATATTTAACTCAAATTTTACTACAATAGGTTCCATCCTTAAATCAGGCATTCTTAACACGAGGACTACCTGTAGATGGAACAGGAGATGAGATACTTTTCAATTAACAAGTACTTGATTTCATAAGTGACTTGAATATGGGGCACAGACAAATTAAGCAACATAATACTGTATCTTCTATTTACAATATATTTGAGAAAGCCCATACTTTGTAGATCTATTAATCTATCAGCCCTTCATGGTAGGGGCTAAGAAACCAATGCCATGTAAGTCAGTACCACTTTTATTGTAACAGCTATAGCAACAGAATCTTGCAAGTCTGAATGTGTTTCTCCCTCCCTCCTCGTGTGAACTAGGGAAGGGCTGGTCTGAGATGTTTGCTTAATTTACTTTTTTGAGTCAGGGTCAGGCCCCTCTTATTTGACTGTTGACTTGATAGCGGCTCTTCCTCCTGTCCTTCAAGGCCATTCTCTCTACATAAACAGTTTTTTAAAAAAGGTATAGATTATTCATCAACAATAATTCAATTGATGCTACGACTATCACTTGACCTCTCCTTATCTCTTTAAGTCTCCTGCCCTGATGGATTCCCAGTTGACTGATACACACGTTTTTTTAATTACCTATTTTACTGAAATATATTTTGAAGTCTTCTCAAATACATTCCTTCCTCCCCTAGTTTCAACTAGGCTAAAATTACTATTTTTCCTAAGTCTAGCAAGGATCCTAAGAAGTGTTCTAATAATAAATCTATTTCTTTGGTTACTGTAGATACTAAGATTTTAACAGACTCCTTGATGTGCAGATCACAGCTACTTATTCCAACAACTGTAAAGCAACCCAGCTCAGGTTGTTAATTGATGTAATTGCTTTTATCTAAAATTGACAGAATCTAGCACCTATTTCTTCAGATCTGAGAAAGCTTTTGATATGGTTTCCTGGAGGTTTCTGAAATAGCTCTTGACTCATTTTGGGTTTCCCCTGCGTTTTATATTGTGGATCAGTTTTATTATATCACTAAATTTGATAACGTGAAAAATACATTGTGCTTTAGAAATAAGACAGAAACTTCAATTCTTAATCTCATTTCATTAAAGTACAAGTTTCATATCATGATTAATAATATAAATTGGAGAAAATCAAACTTGATGCCACTAGGTCTCAGTAATAATTCTGACACCTTTAGGGGCTTGCTATTCTGGCGCAGTTTGCCATGGTGTTCCAAAAAACCCTAAATGTGTTACCAGATGTACCATGGTGGAGAGTATAGTCAGGCAACATCTTTATA